GATAAAAATGTCTGTGTTCGCTGTCTTTTAACAGAGTAGCAGTGTAATGTCTGTTTCTTTTGTTTTTGTATAGGTGTAAAGGAAAAAGGGGTGATCAATTTAAGTTGAAAAAGTGAGTGTGGATGAGAAATAAAAGATAAGAGGAAAAAATGTACTTAGGAGTCAGTTGTAAATTTGTTGTTGTTGTTGTCCTTTTCTACTCCACTTTTGGCTCTTAGTGTTAGGTTGAGTCAGTGATGGAATTTACTATCAGTCTTCTATGATTTCTGCGCCCTTCTGACTTGAGTGACTTGAAACTCTCTATTTATTGTTGACTTTTTTTTCACACTGGCTCATTATCTTTTTTTTGGTTTAGCAAATCGCCTCCTTTCATTGGTCAGAAAATTAATTTCACACCTTATTGCGAAATCTGTTTTTAGTCGTTTTGATCCGATTTTGCGGGTGTGCAAATCTACTTTGTGTTTTTTAGTCATTTGTTGGAATATAGGATTTGTATCCTATAAGCTTACTTGAAGAATGGATATAACTCTGCAAAACTCAGGGTAGAGATAGACATAAAATAAATGGACAAATTTAATTTATTTATTATTCTTAAAGATATATATCTTGATATTGAGCACTATAATTACAAAAACAATTTTCCTTATAGCCATATTCCCTGAAGTGACCTGGTATACTGGCTTTGAACAGAAATAATAACCAATTTCCAACACGGAAAAATTTTAAAAGAGTTCAAGCATTTACAGCAAAGGATTACAAGTTATCGACAAAAAGAAAAAACTGTAAGTTAGACATTAACTTATTGATTAAATTGGAAGCTATAATAACCAATTTTTTGTGCTTAAAAAAAAAAAAAAATTTGTCGTACAGAAAATTTGAATTTTTTGGCCCCCTCAGAGAGGAAAAAAAAAACGCATAATTTTTTTTTTTTTTCTACATACATAATCATGGAGCAATTTCAATCATCTATGCTGGAACTCATTAAGTATCAGATGCAAAGACAGCAAGAGAGTGAAGAACGTTTTCAGAAAGAGCAACTTAAAATTCAAGAAGAACAACTTAAAAAAACCAAAAAATTTCCAAGTTGATCACGTGAGGATTCCTCCGATCACTCACGCAGCAACGGACTCAAAAGGTTCGTCGATACACTGAAAAGAGCTCTTAGGAAAGCAACAGGTACCCCGACTAGAAAGGCGTTACAGCTATTCCTGCAAGTGTGTGCGAATTACCCCGAATAAATCTGCCCCATCAAGCCTATCACCCTGCGGAACTAATGTTCAAGAAAAGGTCAGATCGGTTTTTGACAAATTGATACCAGAAAATAAGGTACACTCAACAATCGCTATGGTTCCCAGGCGAAAATTTAACATTAATGAAAAATTTTTTTCAAAAATTATACAAATAATGCAACATCATGGGAACCAAGGGTCATAAAAAACGCATTGGGGATATGGTATACATCATACAAGGAAACAAATTTTACACAAACGGCACATTAACCAGTTGAAGAAAAGAAAGACCGACGAATCGGAAGTAATTCCAACAAGAATTAATTACAACTAATTGTTTGATACGCTTGACCTGCAAATACCGCGCAGACTGAGCAGAAACAACGAGATCTGCAAGAAAACGTAAAGCGACACAAAATTTAATAATAGACTTGAAAAGGAAAAAATATTAATTTTTTTTTCTCCCCACAAATGAAAAAAGGAAAAAAAAAAAAAATTTTAGGGGGGTGTTGGGCGCACCCACCTTCTAACTAGTAATAGACTGGTCCCTCTTATATAAGTCAGCTTGGGGGGAGAGTCAGGGTGAGCAGTCCAGATAAGCTTACCGGTACATACCGTTGGACTATAGACTTTGGATATTGTTTCAGCATTTAACCAACCTTCGTTCTACTAATCACTCTATTGTTAATTGCTTTTATGAATATACCAGTATTTTCCTCTACAACTGTGTTTGTCTTGATTCATACACCGACACGCGGGAAACTCACAACATCTCAACAATATTTCTTCTTGATCTTCTTGTTTTCCTGTGTGGAAACATTTGAATTTATTGAAATCTTATCTAGTATTGATAATTCACATCTGATTTCCTCAATTTCTCCCTTTAATTTTACCTTCCAAATGGGTTCTTTTTATGTTTTGTTTAATCTTTTGTCTTGATATTAAGTTTGTTACTAGCTGCCAAAGCTGTTGCACATATGACATTATTTATTTCTGTGATATTTTGTTTTGGTCTGTCCATTAACAATGTTTGCAATGATGTGTTATATGTTTGCACAATATGTTTATTGGACTTTGTCATGTGAAATTTTAATAGCTGGTTTCTTTCTGACATTTGTATGCAAATTACTTTGCTGTTTATTTGAATGATGTGGTTTTTTGCTTCAGTGATTTCAACTCTGTTTTCTTTTTCAAGGAATTCTGCTCTAATATCGTTTGATTCATCTTCATCAGTAACAAAATCTTCATCAATGCAATTGTTTATGTTGCAGCTAGATTCTTCCGTTTTATTTCCAGAGAGATCATTATTTTGTATCTTATTTATTTTAGTTTGTATCTCATCTTCTGTCATATCATATTTCTATTCTTGACTCATTTTTGTTTGCATTATATCTTATTGTACTTTGTCTAATATTTAGTTTTATCTTATCTATTTTTGTATTTGAGAGTCTTTTATTTCGCATGATGTCCCTGCAGATATTGGCAAGCATATTTGGGTCCAGATAGGGTCTTATTTTAGTTCCTACCATATCTCTCCATATTTGGTATGTCTGATCCATAATGTTCTTTTGTGAATTTTCAAGTTCAGTGAAAAAAGGTGCCATGATTTGTTTATACTTTTCATGATCCCATTTTGTTCACTTTCTTTTTATTTATTGATTTGGCATTAAAGTCACCATGTCCAATGTTGAAGTTATTCTGGTTTTGGTGACAAGGTATCTAATTGTTAGTGAAGAATTTGTCCCAGTGACAGATTTTTCAACCCCAAACTGGTTCCTCCGAGGAACATAGCCCTTATTTATCCAGGTGATGACCAATCTGGCATGAGTTTTTGTAAACATTGAGATTTGTATTTTTTTGCATTTTATCCTTAACTGCCAAGGGGTAATTTTGTTTCAAGATACCACCTCCAGGATGACTATCAACCAAAACTAAAGTGCTTATCCTACCTATGAGATAGTTATTCCCCATTGGACATCACTCCGAGTATTTTTATGCATTTATTATTATTATTCCTGTCATTGTTATCATTATTATTATATAGTTGTTTAGTAGTATATAATGTGTGGTATCCATCAGTCACAAGAGACTATGGATTTGCACCCAGAGTGTTTTACTTCAGTTGCTGCTGGTGGCACAGCATCTGCTATGGCTGTACTGGCCAACATGGGGGTGACAGTCTTGCATGAGTTGCCAGAATAAAGTTGAGCATAACATCAAACTGACTTAGGGTCTCTAGCTCAGGATTTGTTCTCAGCATTTACTTCCAAAGCCTTTCCCATGACTGGGTATGGCTGCAAAGCAGCAGAGGTTTAAAATCAGAGTATTCCTTCTCTCAGATGGACTACCCTCCTGGGCTGATGAGTTCCATCTACCCAAAGTCATACATGCCTAAACACATACATATACACTGGATGTTAGAGTGAACAGTTCATTATCAAATTAAATTAAGTTTAAGAATTATTATTATTATTACTTTAAATGATAATAAGAGAAATCAATAAATAAGGAAAGAACAAAAGTATAAAATTATCAGCAAATATATCAGAATATATTATTATTATTATTATTATTATTCATATATATAAAACAGAGGTGTCTGTCTGTCTGTGTGATATCTTTTCACTCGAGATCCATCCAACTGATTTAGACCAAACTTGGCACATACATTGTACAATATAAGAGATAGGTTCTTAGCATAAAAAATTGATAATTTAAAAAAGAAATCATTAATTGGTAAAGCTGATCAAAAATCAATAAATTCAACTTTTTTCCTCCGATTTCATTCAAACTCAGTATGTAGGTTATTTACATCATGATGAACTCAATGATACTTCATTTTTATTTCTATGTCACTGCATTTAGCGAAAAACCACAAAAAATGAAAAATCGATTTCAACACAAATTTTAAACTAAAAACTCCCTCAACTTTCAAGCAGTCTAAAACAGACTTCCCTCAATTGTAGCCAACAATACATTGATTGTTTAACATTTAATATTATAATTGAGTCTGCCCATATAGTGAAAAACTGCATAAATAGAGAAAAATGGCGATTTTTACTGGTTTCTTTCTTATTTTTTGTTGATCTTTCAACCAATTTTCATCACAATTGCTTCATAAATATATCCTGCTTTACATCCCTGGTAAGCACACTGACAAATTGAATTTCAAAAACTCCAAAATAATTGTGGTCTGATGTGGGTCTTCATTTTGCCTGTTTTACCCCTTCATGTTCGCAGCTAACATTGTTTGAATAAATACATATTACTTCTGTTATATCAGTAACTGCATTAATTCAAAATGTTTTTAACAAAAGTACTTTAAAGTAATTGAAGATAGACTCTTTTACATCTAAACATGATGCTGTTTTTGCTCCATTCTAATTGAATGCTTTTTCTGATTGACCTTCTAGGTATGTCTGCTAGTTATTATTATTATTATTATTATTAATATTAATGTGCTATCTCTTGATAGTTAGCATTATAATTACATTGTTAACTTTAAAATTTTATCTTTCAGAATTACCTGATCAACAGGTTTTGGGAAAATACAATCTTAGTTATTGTAATGTTTTCTCATATAGTAAGTTTATAAAAGTGAAAAAATCATTTTAAAATTAAGGTATTTTTAAGGTTTTGCTAATGTGATAAAATATTATGTAGATATGTGGCAAATGTATTAAGAAAATATAACAAGATAATAATACCAGAAATAAAAACACAGCTTATTTTCTTATATAATAAAAACAAAAAATAAATAAATAAACATACCTGGGTCAATATCATTGGCAACTACACGGGTAGCACCTAACATTTTACTAATAATTGCTAAGGCTCCACAACCACTTCCAATATCTAACACTGATTTCTTTTCAACATAATGTCTGTTTTCCAGTAGAAATCTATGAAATAAATGAAGGTAACATTATTTGGGAATTTGGAACAATTACAAAAAAAATACAAAGACAGTTTATGATTAGTAATGTTAACTACTAATAATAATATATTTATAAAATGTAGGAAGAGATAACATTTTAATAAAATATTTTATTCATAGTAATTTGGGAGAAAAAAAAACAAAAATTAAATATCCTGCTTCCTGGAATCTAAGAGAAGCATTAGTGATTATTTTTCAATCATACATATTACTTCATTTATTAATAGTAAATTAATTAGTACTGCATTTTTACAGTAAAATCATTGCTAATGCATTTTCATATTAAAACCATTGGCAATGGATTTTCATATTAAAATCATTTGCAATTTATCTCCATATAAAAATCACTGCCAGTACATTTTCATATTAAAATCATTGCTAATGCATTTTCATAGTAAAAATTATTGGCAATGGATTTTCATAATAGGACCATTTGCCATGCATTTTCATAGTAAAATCATTTGCTGTGCATTTTCATAGTAAAATCATTTGAAATACATTTTATAGATCAGTAGATTTCCCAAGTAACAAATATAGTTATCTTCAATATCATATTTATTATAAAATATAATTAGCTAAATACTTGTATCTATAAATACTCATATTGGCACTGGGGATGTAGAAATACCTGGGTGTGTGGTAAGCCCACTAGGAGTAAAGGAACCCTTAGCCTTTGTTAAGTTATCCATCTTAGATAAAGAAAACTCCACCTTCACTACTAAACCAGATATCTTGCCCCTGCTTGGCACAAGAGTTTACTTTTCTGTAGAATTAGAGAAAATGTTTCTCCTCCCATGAGAGGCCTGGTATTGGGGATTCCAACCCTATGATATGGTCATGTGAACTGGGTAAAAATTATTGTCCATTGCCCACATGCATACATATGTGTATGGTACTCACTGCATAAAAAAAATATTGACCTGGTGTCACATCCTGCCTAAGCATAGAGGCCAAGTAAATACTTATCTTCCTGTTTGTATATGTTGCTATGCAATATTTGATTATAATGCTGCACAAGCCAAGCATTGTTGATGATAGCAGGTCAGACTAAGCTCTCTAGATATGGTTAACAACAGGTCAAGGAGGACAACTCAGGATTGTAAAATGTATAACCCTGCCAAAGTACATACTTGAACTGTAATAAAGTTCAGCTCAACATAGTTGCAGTATTAACCAAAAATCGGTTGTGTGAGTGTTGAAGAAACACAAATGGAACTCGGAAACAAGCAGCTATACTGTAGATAAGAAATCACACTGCCACTTTGTTGAAATTACTTGGATCAAAGCCATTTTGACAAAGGCACTCTCCAAAATTAAAGGATTTGTTGATTATGTTAACTTTTACTTCATAGTTTCAAGTTTTATTTACAACATGAGATATATTTTGCTTTGGCATGTGTTGTTTTTAAAAATCTTTTTTGTTTTATCAAGATTTTTAATTTACAATACAGTGTAACCCGGATATAACAGAGTTGTCGGGACCGGAGAAGAAGTCTCTTATATCCGGGTTTGGTCTATTTTATATACATTAACACAGGCTCTAATTTGGGACCAGAGAAAATCTCTCTTATATCCGAGTTTCTCTTATATCCGGGTTACACTGTATTTTGAAAAATAGTTTTTAAACAGTACATTCTGAACTATAAAACAGAAAAAAATCAATTATGGAAGGAAGTGAATATGTCAAATTAACAATTTATATTCATACTTAATTGTAGAATGACCTGTGTATGACAATAAACTACATCCACATCCTAGGTAGGACGATAAACTACATCCAACAGCAGGGTCTCTGATTGGGAGCTTTTGAGGAGCATGAAACCACCTCTTAATTGCTGGTGTTCCCGGGTCCACCATGACCTGGAGTGGTGGGACCTGTTGGGGTCCCAGCTATGGGGTTGACCCCCCAGCTGGGTTAGAAGCACTGTGGAGTTGTATTGGTGGGTTTTGATACCAGGAATGCTTTGTAAAAGGTTGTTACCGGCAGTTATTTTTGAAAAAGAAAAAAAACTAGTACCAGCAATACGCGTTTGAAAAAAAAAAAAAAAAAATTACCAGCGATATATTTTTGAAGGAAAAGATATTACCAAAAAATAAAATATATTTTTGACAAAACAAAATATTACCAGCAATAAAAATTTTGTCGGCACTAAATAACAATAACACATTGAGGTTGATATGATGTAAAACAAACAAAAAACAAAGCAAACCTATTCATAGAAAAAAGTAAAAGATATTTTGTTTTATTTTTTTTTACTGTAATTAATTTGGGAGATTTTTTTTAAAAACCTATTTTTTATTTTTAAACTAAACAGAATTATTCATTCTCATTTTTTTTTTCAATAAAATAAAATTCTTTAAAAAAAATCATTATTAATCAGTTTTAATCTAATTTATTTTTTATTTTTTAGACAAATAATTGTATTAGCTGTGTGTTAAATTAAAAATTGGATGCCATATCTAAAAAAAAAAAATGTAACCTATGCAATGCGAGTATTTTTATTGAATGAATGAATCAATGTCTCTCTAGTTTTTTGCTCTTAAAACTCGTTTTATATAAACAGGCATATAGTTGGTTCATAAATTTATATCAGAATATTTTTTTATTCTAGAAATAACACATTTTTATCTTGTTTTAAGTTAAAACTACTTTTAATTTTAACTAACTAACTAACAGTAACACACAAACATAGCAACATAAAAAGTTAAAATAAAAACAAGCAAAAAAAATTGAAACAACGACCAGAAATAATCATTTTTTCACTTTATTTTTAAATTGAAAATTGTACTTATAAGTAAAAATATTTTTAAAAATAAATCAAATTATAACGTTAGTTGTAATTTTATTTAAAAAAGAAGTGTAGGCAAAGTAAAGCATGGAAATTAATAGTTGCATCCATGTTTACTTTTTTTATCTTTCATTTTAAGAAGTAAAAAAGCTTTTTTTGTGTTGTTATAACTTTGGAAAATTTCAGTTTTACTATCCGATAACTTTTCTTGAATTAATTATATTCATCTGACAAAAAATCCGTTTAAGTTGGTTGGTTTTAACAGGATTTTTTCCCGATTATTTTTGGTTTGATTACCGTTTTTACCTTACGGACGTTTCTGGAGGAAGACGACGACTTAAAAATAAAACAAAAACACTTGACTAAAAATGATAAACTTAAACATGTGCGCTGTGCTTATAATTACGATGGCGAAGAATGATTTCAACGAAATTTCACAGAATAACAACTAATAATTTGAATTAAATACTCGCCTATTATGTGTTTATATCTCCCTTATCAATAAATTCAATAATTACGATTTTAGGTAAAAAAAATACATCCACATCCTAGGTAGGATAGTTTAATTATGGTAATGATGCATAAATGCACTGAGATATACTTGTCCAAACCAAAATATTGTGATGTCAATAAATGCATTACTGTTTTAAGTCAATTACGTTTTCTTATTAATTACATTTTTGATTTTTTTTTTTGTCAACTATTTTGTTGTCTCTCTACCGCAAGTATCGTGGACTTGGTTAAAAATAAAAAAACGGTAGTCAAACCATTTTCTTCTCAAAATAAAATCTTCATACTTTTTCCCTTTTATTTTAACTATTATGCAGTATTATTTATAAACAGAACACCACACAACATTTTAATTTGAAGTCGTAAGTTAAAGTAACTAGCACAATTCATGTCTCAATTTTTGAAAAGCAACAATTATTTTTATTAGTTTTTATAAAGTTTATAAACTAGTAAATGATGATGATAATTCTATGTTGGCATTTGGAAAATGAAGATGATTTAAGAATAAAATGCACTGGCAACAATGTTTTAAAAAATTGTGAGATACAGGTAGATACAAACAACACAGATAGAAACTAAACACACCCCAGTTCTCCGAGTCAGTTTTTTTTTATCAGAATAAAAAATGAAATAAATAATTATGTATTTCCTTTTAAAATTTAAAATACAGACACACACATGATGTGGTTTTTAAATTTTATTATTTAAATTTTGATGAGAATCCGACGGCACGTTAAACTTTATTTTTTAATTTAATTAAATAAACTTTATTTAATAAAGTTTATTTTTTTTAACAAAAATGTTTTCCAAATTGCCTTAGTCCTTCAGTACTGACGAAGGTTGCAACAGGAACGACCGATTTATTATTTTTTTTAATTGTGCTCCCCAAATCAGCTAAATACAAAAAATATTTTCGCTATCCAATTAATTTTGTATGCACTTGACAGGGGTGGGGGTCTGAAAGTCTTGTCACCCCTACATATATAATTTTTTTATTTCAGGTGGCTGATGAAATGGATGGTGTTCATACACACCTTCTCGAAGGGTCAATGAAAGTGAATAATTGTATTTAACTTTATTACTTGTTCTATTGTTCTCATTACTTTTTTTTGTAGAGGTGACAAAACATTCGGACCACCCTGTAGCGCACAAAATATTTTTCCAACTTCTGGTTTTAGGTTCTGTTGATCAATGGTTAACAACTTAACATTAACAATAACATGTTTCATTTATTTATTCAAATAACGAATGATTGTTTAGGTGTGTGCATAAAAAAATAGGTACAAGCTCAAGCAACAACAACAAAAAAAATACTATTTTACTTTCATTTATTCAATAACAGTAACATGCATATTTTTCTCTTTTTTTCTTTATTACAGGGAAATCTCACCTTGCCAAGACTTGTCCACCTGGCCAATAAAATGCCCAGAAAGGATCTTGAAAGGGGCAGTGATCCTCTGTAGTATACCATAATTTACAATTTGGTGTTATAAGTCTTAAACGTACTTCTGGCGATAAATGATGCCGTGTGATCTCTGTATTTTCTCTAATCAGTTTGCAAATATAATTATTTGAATAGTATCGGGTGAAACTATTCTTAAATATACCTACAAAAAAAGTAGACAGTATTTTTGCGGGTGTGATCTTGTAGATCATAACATTATTACAGAAATGTAAAGCGTTCATCTCCATCAAATGTCGTCAGCGAATTACTATTGGTTGTTCATCAGTAACGTTCACTATTTGGTATGCTTTTAGTTTTCAATGCGTATCTTGGGGGCAGATATTTTTTTTTGGATAATTTTTATTTCTAGGTTCTTGGCAACGCAATTTGTACGTGTGTGTAATAATTTTTAGAAGTTTATAAAAGATTAAAAATATAAAAAATAAAATCATTTATTTCACCCACCTAAATAATTTTACTTTTTTCCCCCGTCGTTTCTAACGCACGAGAACTAAAAATTCACTTCACATTTTTTTTAGTGTTTGTCATCTGCGAAACTCTGCTTTTTTGCAAACGACACCGTATATTTCACGCACGAAATGTTGAACATAAATAAAATAAAATAAAAAAGTTAAAAAATATATATTTATTCATTTATTTATTTCGGCTTAAAAAAACTAATGAAATTTTAAAACAGGATTTAAAAAACATCTTAAAATTCTCTTGGTTTGGTGAAAAAGAGAATTCTTGTTTTTTGACATTAGATAAATTGAGAAAAGCTCATTTGAAATAAATTCATTAAAAAGTTCAGTTTGAACTTATTCTTAAATCATTTCACCCCAAGCAAGGTAATAAAGCCACTAAAACGCTATAGGTTACTGAGTGAGAGAATATGGAATTAACATTAATTCCATTTATAATTTTACGCGCGCGCGAGTTTCCTCCCTTTTGTTTTACACTCGTGCGTGTGTGCGCGCGTTTGACACCCCTTTCTGTCTCTTTTAGTCTAATACAGTAGTAACTGTTTTTGGTCAGCAGTCAAGACGAGCTGCTACTTCTACTTATGCAAATTAGACTTTTGAATTTTTCCCGCGTTTTTCGGCGTTTCAAAACTGCTAACGTTTGCAATCCAGTTTGCCTCTTAGCTTTCAACCGGACTGGATGGGCAACTCATTTATTCCGTGCCCTTAATCCATATGCGGGCGGAATATCTTATTTTTTCAACAATGTCGACTGCACCCTCTACCAAGACTTTTTCTCCTTTTGAAGCTGCCAACAGGTCGGACCTTTTCTCCGTTTTCTACTGGAAGATGTTTAGAGATACAGCGACACTGTCGCGAGCAAAAGTTCGTATGCAACTAATGGCGTATTTTTATCCCTCGTCAGGGGCCTAATAAGTATAGGCAGGGATATCCTACTGAGCGAACAAATTGCTAATCACAGGTCAGGACCTTTTCTCCGTTTTCTACCAGAAGACGTTTTTAGAGACACACGACACTGTCGTCGCAGAAACTTCGTGTTCAACAGGTGACTTAAACTTACCCCTGGCTTCGAACCAAATAATACAGGCAGGGATAATATTACCTGTGAACGAAAACATTTTTAATCTTTCTCTTTGGGCTCGCAAAACCATTCTACAAGACCATGCTTCGTCTCTCCTCGGCTAGATGCCCACAGCAGTCCAGAACATTTACCAGCGGTCAATTCAATATTTACCGAACATTCTTTATAACTTTGAACCTGTACATTAAAAATATGCATAATCACTTACAACTTAAAATATCCACAGTGAGTAATCCATTCTATCTAAAGCACCTTCTTTTTCCGAACTGTATAAAGCTTTCTTTTTCCGCCTTTGGCCATCTTGTATTTCTATTTTGGCGCTGAACATTTTTTCATTGGTCCCTACCACGGGACAAATTACTTGTTTTTTCCTGCATTTAATAAAAATTACTCTTGTTGAAACCCAGTCTTTTTCAGTCATTCCGAGGAGGCTATCTTGTTAATATATTTTAATCATGCACGTGTGGATTAACCACATTTCTTCGTTGTTCATCCACGCACATTTTTATCTTTTTACTTTGCTTGTAGACTCGGTAGTTTAGTGTGGTGTCTGGCACAAGGCCACTCAGTATAATCCAGCACTGCACCCTACCGGGTCCGCAACAAGATTGGTGACCTCCCGACGTGATGAACATGCAGCAAGATTGGCGAACTTGCTGACATTCTTCTGATCAATAAGATTGGTAACATACCAATTTGATTTTTGAGGAACTTGTGTTGTGGATGAAAGACAGGTCATTTTCTGTCGGGTCAATTTTTTTTTTTAAAAACCTAAACGTGCATAATTATGATAGCCAGCATGACGTCTGAAACCGGAGAGTTCTCCGAGACTTTTATGTTATTATTTGTTAAATGTCTCGACATTTAATCCGGGGAAGGCTATATGGAATTAACATTAATTCCATTTATAATTTTCTGTGTGAAGTTTCCTCCCTTTGTTTTACACTCGTGCGTGTGTGCGCGCGTTTGACACCCCTTTCTGTCTCTTTTAGTCTAATACAGTAGTAACTGTTTTTGGTCAGCAGTCAAGACGAGCTGCTACTTCTACTTATGCAAATTAGACTTTTGAATTTTTCCCAGCGCGTTTTGTTTCAAAACTGCTAACGTTTGCAATCCAGTTTGCCTCTTAGCTTTCAACCGGACTGGATGGGCAACTCATTTATTCCGTGCCCTTAATCCATATGCGGGCCGGAATATCTTATTTTTTCAACAATGTCGACTGCACCCTCTACCAAGACTTTTTCTCCTTTTGAAGCTGCCAACAGGTCGGACCTTTTTCTCCGTTTTCTACTGGAAGATGTTTTAGAGATACGCGACACTGTCGCGAGCAAAAGTTCGTATGCAACTAATGGCGTATTTTTATCCCTCGTCAGGGGCCTAATAAGTATAGGCAGGGATATCCTACTGAACGAACAAATTGCTAATCACAGGTCAGGACCTTTTTCTCCGTTTTCTACCAGAAGACGTTTTTAGAGACACACGACACTGTCATCGGCAGAAACTTCGTGTTCAACAGGTGACTTAAACTTACCCCTGGCCCGAACCAAATAATACAGGCAGGGATAATATTACCTGTGAACGAAAACATTTTTCGTCTTTCTCTTTGGGCTCGCCGCAAACCATTCTACAAGACCATGCTTTGTCTCTCCCTCGGCTAGATGCCCACAGCAGTCAGAACATTTACCAGCGGTCAATTCAATATTTACCGAACATTCTTTATAACTTTGAACCTGTACATTAAAAAATATGCATAATCACTTACAACTTAAAATATCCACAGTGAGTACTCCATTCTATCTGTGCGCACCTTCTTTTTCCGAACTGTATAAAGCTTTCTTTTCCCGCCTTTGGCCATCTTGTATTTCTATTTTGGCGCGGAACATTTTCATTGATCCCGACCTTGGGATGAGTTACGTGTTACTGTTTGATTAAAGTTTACTCATGTTTTTATAAACAGATGTCTTTGGCATTTTATTTTCGCTATCTTAATACCATTTATTTATGCACTTGTTGATTGACCCTTTCCTCTCATTGTTCATTCACGCATTTTTTTTTTTTACTTTGCTTGTAGACTCGGTAGTTTAGTGTGGTGTCTGGCACAAGGCCACTCAGTATAATCCAGCACTGCACCCTACCGGGTCCGCAACAAGAATATGAGAAGAAAAAGTCATTATTAAATAGCTAAAAAACAAGAATTAAGGAAGCAGAAGATAATAATTTATATTCCATTTAAACTTTTGAAGATCAAAGTTAAGTGGAAAGCAATGTTATGCTCCATTGCAATTAGTGCTTTTTTTTATTCATTCTGCATGCTAGCCAGATTTGAAGACACCAAACCCACACAAGAATTAGGTTGACTCCTGGTACTACCCTTATACCTAATTGCCATCCTGATGACTAGCCAGTGAATTAGACATTCCACTCATCCTATGACATGCCAACAATAGATTTCCCAAATATAATCCTTGTTATTCCTTTCCCTTGCCACCAAATGCTTAATATAACAGTAAGAAGCCAAAAGAGAGTTCCACAATTGAGAAGTGCGATAGAAGAAATTGTTAGCATAGAACTTATAATTACATCTAATCATTTCAACGGTAAAATGATGAGACCTTGCTGCCAATCTAGTTCTGCACTTAAATTCATAAAGTCTAAGTAGCACAGAGAAAAGTTCATCAAAACAATTACCATGAAAATATTTATAGAAATCTCACAGGGACACTACATTACATCAGTGGGAAAGTGACTGAAGCTGAGATGTCAGGTCAGGGTTATTAACACTGCAGATTCTTCTTTAGATTTTATCAAGCATCTCTAAATATATAGCAGGATCACCAGTCTATGCCAATGCAATATTTAAAGCAAGGACAAATAGTAGACATAAATGCGTAAGAACCTGGTGAGAAAAATTGTCTAGCATGACACAATGAACCAACTTTTCTAGCAGCAAATCTAGCAATTGATTCAATATGATCTTTCTACTTCATGTCATTGAAAAATGTTAGCCCGAGAAGGCACAATGAGACAATCTCCTGGAGGTAAGCATAAATTCATTGGAGGTAAACTAAATTCATTGCTTTTCTTAATATTGTGGCACCTACCATATGATCTTGTGTGTTTTTAAAATAAAATTGTTGACTTTGGTGTATTCTCCTTATTTATTTATTCATTCTAAGAATAACAACAAGAACACTTTCTCAAGGACACATGGCCCAATGAATAATGTTGTTGGTTTGATCTAGAGTTATGAGTTCAATATGAGGCTACAGCAGTAGTGAAAAAAACAAAAAAATTGGAGAGTTGAATTAAAGGAAACAACTGAGATGTCCAGAAGAGGTATGGCACATGGAACTAGAATAGTCTACCCTGGTGGACAAAAAATAGGGTTCAGTTCGAAATTCCAATCACCTGAAGAATGCTGGAGTGTACAACAGCCAAAACATTGTGAATATGGCAATGAATATGAGGATAACATCTGAATAATGTAAATAATCATAATATCTCATCTCAGATATATAGATAGATATTAAAGAACATTTCAATATTTTCAGTATATTATGCTTTTTTTTTAAAATTTAACAAAGGTAAAAATACAATTTGAATACAATTTATAGAGATGGTCCTGTTGCTGAATGTATCAAAAGTAATTTGCAAAGTTTTGTACTGAAGATTTCATGCTAAATGAAACATTTGGATAGCTAATGATTCATCCTTACGAAAATGCTAACAAAGTGGGGAAGGACATTAAATTCACTTCACTTAGAGAAGAAAAATTTGAAAAACAAGAAAAATAAAATAAATAGTAGCAGCAAACAAATAAAACAAAAGTGAAGAGAAGGAAAAGTTCCCTATATTTGGACCCAAGACTAAGGTGGTGGTTGACTGACTGTTTACATCAAAAAAAAAAAATCACTCCATGACTATGTCCAGACGTTTCTTCTTGGCCAACTTATATTCAAGCCTAGAAAATGTAAGACGAGGTGGATTAAATTCAGTACCAGTAGAAATAGGACAGTTATGGAAACTAAACTAAAACAATTAGTAATAGCAAAAGAACAGATTAATACTTAAGTAAATTAGTAATTTAGAAACAAAAAACAAAGAAAAAATGTAGGAAAACCAAGAAGGTATACAAGAATTAATTTTAAATGCGTACATGTTACTACAACAGGGTAAAGAAGTGAAAAAGCACATGGTTCTTAGCAAAAAGAGATTTCTGCAACTAGACTTCCCCATTCACCTGAAACCAAAGGAGGGGAATAGTCTGACCATTTAAATAAAAAAAATCACTTCACGACTATGTCCAGGCATTTCTTCTTGGCCAACTTATATTCAAAATCAGTAGAAAACTTAAGATGAGGTGGATTAAATTCAGTAGCATTAGAAATAAGACAGTTATGGAAACTAAACTAAAACAGTTATTAATTGTGAAAGAACAGATTAATACTTAAGTATTTGGAGAATCTGATACTCATGGGTCAAATAGAGGGAAAGAGAGACAAGGGAAAACAATGCATGACATACCTGGCAGACTTAAACAAGTAGATGACAGAATGTGGTCTGGTGGAGGAAGCAGAGGGAAGAAACTTGTTGAGAGCAGCAAGAGATAGAAGAAGGTGGAGAGCCATGATCGTCTACGTCCTGAAAGGACATGGCATATAAAAAGAAAGAATAATTCATCAATATCCCACAGGAGGTGGAAAATATGCTCAGATATCCCAATCAAATGTTGAAAATCATTTATACAACTTAGTTATTCTATTTGCTTTTATATATGGCATTCATATAAGCAAAAACAAGAAAAAACTACTGAACTATACTTCTGTGTTCAATTTTTGTTTTTAAATAAATTTTGAAAAGTCAATAAAAGTGAATTATTTACAACAATCTTTAATGAAAGAGAAATAAATCAATACTATTTTTCTAGGTGCCAAGTCTCTTCAAGACGTGATTGATCATGACTCTCATGACACATTTCATTCATAGTATTTTCAGCATTTAAGTCCCTTTTTCATCTGTGAGCATTCATGACCATGTAGGAGAGTTGATATTACATAGCAATTCAACACTCTTTTCTTTGTTTCTAATGAAAGTTTCCTGTTTTTTAATATTTCCCAATTTTTGGAAGAAGCAAACCAAAAGTTGGTTTTCATCTAAAGAAAGTGATGTGTATTATGTAATTTAACTGGTTGTGTGTTTGTGTGTATTTTATATCAGTGCATGTTCATGTGTAAATAAATAAAGAAGCATACAAAAACTTAGGTTTCTACAACACTGTTTATACTCTTCTTTTATGGTGATTATAGAGATGCAAAGTTCTTAATGCCTCTTGTGTATGTCTGTTTTCCTTTTGGTTCAGGAGTTAGAGTAAGTAAGTATAACCATTGTTACAATGGTTTCACTCAAGTCAGCTTTGTGCAGAGTTTGAACAACCAAACAAAGGTTTGTACTTACTTTATCACTAGGAGACTTAAACATGGTTAGGGGATGTCTGTTTTATTTTTCTTGGTCCAGAAGTTACAATAAGTATAAGGATCATTACAATAGTCATGCTCAATTAAGCCTTGCACTGAGTTGGAACAACCAAAAAGAAAGCTTGACATACTTCATAGGTGGAGATTTGGGAAGACACATGTGAGCACCAGATTACTTTCATATTAGCAAAATATAAAATTAATTTAACATGTGCTTGTACTATGCATGGTGTGTTGATTATTATTATAATTAAGAATATCAAAAAAAAAAATGCTGTAATTGATAGTTGTATCAAGCCTGGTTCAGCACAGGTTAAAATCCATAGATCCTCTCCCAACTATTCAGGTTTTTGAACATGCATGCAAATTAGTGATAGTTTAAAAGAACTAGAACCGTATCGAGAAAAATCATCATTATTCTCAAAAAAGTGTTAATGCAATATTCACTCACAAAGAAGAATTATTCTTAATATACAAAATATGATTTGGTTTTAAATAACTCACAAATCTATAAGAAGCAAATCACACATTTAGGACTGAATATACTGTATATATCTCCATATCAATCAAGACTGAAAATACGGTATATATCACCATATCAATCAAGACTGAAAATACTGTATATATCTCCATATCAATCAAGACAGAAAATGCTGTATATACCTCCATATCAATCAAGACTGAAAATACTGTATATATCTCCATATCAATGAAGACAGAAAATACAGTATATATCTCCATATCAATCAAGACTGAAAATACTGTATATATCTCCATATCAATCAAGACAGAAAATGCTGTATATACCTCCATATCAATCAAGACTGAAAATACTGTATATATCTCCATATCAATCAAGACAGAAAATACAGTATATATCTCCATATCAATCAAGACTGAAAATACTGTATATATCTCCATATCAATCAAGACAGAAAATGCTGTATATACCTCCATATCAATCAAGACTGAAAATACTGTATATATCTCCATATCAATGAAGACAGAAAATACAGTATATATCTCCATATCAATCAATCAAGACAGAAAATACTGTATATATCTCCATATCAATAAATCAAGACTGAAAATAGTGCATATATCTCCATATCAA